AAAATGCAAACCCTTTAGTATGGTAGGCATGCAAGCTTCCTTGTGTATAATCTGTGTCCTTTAGACCCTGCTGGGGCAACCAAAATACCTGTGGTTTCCCCAAGTCACCATGTTGTTTGAAGCCACAATCTAGTGTCCTGGCTGTAACACTTCATTTTTTCCCCTCCTTATCTAGCTCATTCTGTTCTGTCATTTCAATGCTGAATCATATCCCCTTTAGGGTAACCTCCCTATAAAATTTCCCTGATGCTTGGGTTAGGTGTCCGGTTAGACACCCTCATGGCATTTCTCTACTGGAATACATACTACAGGGCTGTATAATGTTTGTTGGTTTGTCTGTCTCTTCCAGTCCCCATGAAAGCAGGATCTGTAATCTGTCACAATATCTCCTGACTAGGACATAATAGGCACTTAGTGCATATGTATTGAGTTTTAAAATATGAGCAAAGCTATTCAGATGGAAATTTGTTAGATGTGTTACGAGAGAATGATTAATACATTTTAAGGATGGAAGAAGGTAAGATTTGAAATGATGAATTCTGAACTACCGGACAAATAAAGGGCAGGGAGTGAGACTAGGGTTGCAGCGAGACATGAAAACCAAAGAAAAGCAGCTCTGCAATGGAACCATTGATGTAAAGGGACACACACACACACACACACACACACACACACACACATCAATTTTGAGGCAGAAGAATATAGACTGAGGTTGACACGCAAGGGCACAGGGTTGAAAGTGAAGAATGGACTCCAAATCAGGAATCAGTTTTTCTAGTGTAACTACAGCTTCAGAACTAAAATTAAGGAGCTGTTGAGGTTTTCTACCTGACTTGGATAGGAAAGCTAACCTAGGATTATACCATGAAACATCTTAAATACTGGGCTGAAGAGGAGTTCTAAGTCTTGCCGTCCTTGGACAATCACTGAACAATTATGGACAGAAGGGGACAAAATTAGAGATTAGAAAGCAAGTCTAACCATGTTGTATAATACTGAATTCAGCAAAAAGAAAATGTGACTGAATATCAGAAGAATAAGTATTTTATTAATGATAACAAAAACTTAAACTAGAGGTGTGACAGTGATACTTAGAGGAAGAAATAGGTAGCATCCATGGGAAAATCTGGAAGTAGCCTGAGACTTGATAAGAGAGAGGAAAGACATAAATTTTACTGAAATAGTTAAACATAGTTTAAATTTTAGTGAAATGGAATAGTCAAATATTTCACTGAATCAGGTACTTTATTTCTTTGAGAAATAACTCCTTGGGTTTAGATTATATGTGTTATTCTGGTACAAAGAATACCAATTTATATGCTATTTTTTCAAATAAAGCGAGACTTTAATTTTTAACAAAGACAGAATCTTATACCTCAGGTATCCCCTGGTACCCCGGAGGTACCAGGCAGCTGTGCAGAGCTGCAGGCATAGGCTAGGAAGTGCCGCCAGCTTCAGTGAGATACATGTTGCCTTGCCAACTTGTATTAGGGATATTTTTCTGTATTCTGTGATCCACTCTTTCTTCCCTGAAACATTTTTTTTCTTAAAAACCAAAACAAAACTACATTCTAATCAGACAACACTGTTTTTGAAAAGCCAATTCAAGAAAATTACTGTTAGAAGTATTGAGCAACAGATACTGATAACATTTTTTCTACTGATTCTTCTCCAATGTTCTATCTTCATGATTCACTTTTAACATAAAAATTTAAAGACCTCAAACCTCTCCATATTGCTGGTTTTCTAAACATATAAGGGAAGCCAGAAACATATGTTAATATGATTTTCTGTGTTTTGATACTAGAATTGAAAACAAGTTAGTATCATTATGAAAACACAAAATCTTATCACTTGGTTTTATAACACTCATTATATGAAGCTCTAGAAGATCACATTCACATTGAAAAGCACATAGTTGTCACATAAATGATGCTTTTAATTAAGTGAAAGATCCATACCTGATTGGGATGATTACTTATGTATTTCTCATTCTCTACCAGACACGACATCCTTGAGGATGGCGATATGACTTATTTGTCTATGTCTCTTCAGGCTCAGTGCAATGCTCGGCATATAACAATCAAAATTTTTTTGAATGAATGACATTACAAAAAATATAACACTTACATAGAACTTACCATGCACCAGACACCTACCCAAATACTTCACAAATAATAACTTATTTAATTCTTATTCTACAAAGAAAATTGAGGCACGGAGATGTTACATTATGTGCCCAAATCACACAGATAGAAAGTTATGGAGCCAGAAGTCAAACTCAAGCAGAGCTGTGACAGAATTTGTACTCTTAACTTATATTATCTTTAAATAAATGCTGCTGTTAAGTTGTAAAAAATACAAATATGTATATAAATATGTAATGTAATCCATCATTGAACTTAAAAAGACCTGGGTTCAAATATATTTTTAATTTACTTGGTTCGTGGCTTTGAGCAAGTTCATTAACCTAATGGGTCCTCAGTTTCCTCAAACATAAAATCATAATAATAGCTTGTAACTCACAAGGCTACTCTTAGTTTAAAACATAATTTTTATAAAAGTACTAGATTATCATTAGCACCGGGTATATGGTAGTTAGTGTGCCAAGGGGAATGATGCTATTTTTCTCTTTCTTCCCTTTTGAAAGGGTATGTATTTGTACCTTACACATCATACAGGTCTTAAGCAAAAGGAGATGAAATTGTATGTTTCATCAAGTATTATTTTCAACATCTCTCAAAGCTAGAGTTCATTTACTAAAGCATTTTCTGGTTGGGCAGATCAACTTCAAACTCAATAGCTTGTTTTCTGGATAAAAAATGTTTTTCCGAGAAGCTGTTATGGTCTAAATATCTAACATCAAATATTAAAATATTTTTCTTCTAATTGTAAGATCAAGTTATACATATAGATATATGTTTATACATACATGTTTCTTTTTTAAAAAGAAAAAACTATTTAACCAGCAATATAACAAACAGCATTTATTTTTATCAAGAACCTCCAACATCAGTGAGTTCTACCAAGTCTGGTGGAAACCCTCTTGGTCAGAGGCTCTCAGTCCTGGTTGCATACTACAATCACCTAAAGAAATACATCAAATTGCAGACCCTTTCCACAGATACTCTGATTTAATTGAATTGGGGTAAGGTTGGGCATCCGTATTTTTTGAAAGTTCTCCTATTAACCCTAATTTGCAGCCCGAGTTGAGAATACTGGTTTAGATTATCATTGAAAACGTTACCCGTCTCCTATTTCCATCTCACTTGGACTCTAACAAAAACTGACAATAGATATTATTTTCATTCATGTTAACATTGACAGAGTCTGAGAGGTTCATCAAGAACAGAATTGCCATGGCACAACTAAACTAATAGTTAGCTCCCTTTCTTTAACTGATTAGAGCAAATGCTCTCCATCCACCATCAATCATTACCTCCGGTTTCAAAATGAGAAACAGAAGCTGTATTTATATCAGCTATTTCTTTTTAACTTTGAGAATCATGAAACAAAACAACTCCAAGATTATTTATATGTTCTTATAAACTAGTTATAATGAAGATTACTTGTTTACTTATTGTGTTGATGTAGTCAGTGAATAAACTTAGAACATTTTATAATACGACCAGATATTATTCTTGGGCTATAGTTCATAGAATAAGCTACAGGTTAGAGGCATTCAACCAGAACAAATCCCGGCTAATGGATGTTTTGAGCTATGTTGAAATATTGAGTAGAAATGAGTTCCCACTGAGAATATCAACTTAAACTGTAAAAGTTTTACAAATCTAATCACCTTAGTTTCTCTTATAATACTAGTGTATAACCAGCAATCTCAACTTTTTAAAGCTGAGTTCTTTTACTACTGAACTCATAGGCTAGCAATATGCTATTAGAAATTACACTTTATAAATTCCATAACACTAAAAGCATTCCTACTTTGTCCTTAATGGTAAGCCAACTGGTCAAAATACACAAAATATTTGCTTTCTATGATCATTTAATACAGACTTAAACTCGGACACTCTATAATTTAAAGATTAGCTTTAAGAACTACTTTGTAAAACTTTGACTTATTTTGAACATTTCACTTTCAATCACTGAATAATTTAAACAAATAGCCTTACACAGATAACTTGATTCTGGTTAACCACAGCCAGGAAATAGGGTCTCCTGAAGATCAGCAAGTGGAACACTGCCTTCTCTTCTTGCAAATATCACATAATATTAGGTTAAAGCTTTCATATAAAACTTTGCTTAGGTAGATTTGCTAAATAAAGTCGATATGGTAGTTTACTAATCTCAATTGTATTGTTGATTTTTGGCTTGGACCTCAAGGACAATGAATGTTTTGAGAAAAGGAATTAATTTGTCACAGCTTTTCTTGATGTCTTTCACCCAGACTTGGGAAGAGTATCATGAAAAATAGTACTCTTTTGGAAACTATGCACACAACATATTTTTCCTAATAGGTGTGAAGAATGGCTGCTATGCATAAATGATTGTTGGAAAATAATTCTCTGTAAAACATGACCTAACAAGCAACTCCATTCACTACTGTGCTCACTTCCAGTATCCAGAACCACCACGACACATCTTATAGATGCCGGTATTATCTGTTTGTCAGTTAATAAACACCCTTTGGAAAAATTCACAACTTTATCCCCCGTAGTTTTCCTACCCAGTAAGTTGGAGAATAAAACTTTTGAGGGAAAATTGATATTAACAACATAGTAAAAGTCACAAGAAATCAAAAGATTCTTCAATACGAAACTATAAGTTGTTGGCTCTTCCCAGGACACCTATTGTTCTTTTTTCTTTATTAAGGGTAAAGTAAAGCGTCTGAGACCTAGCTGACCCTACATACGAACCTCAAGCACCACAATCAAACCGCAGTTCTATAATTAAAAAGCAAGGTGCCTATCGCCCCTGCACTGTTAAACATCCCTTGGACACCCCAGATCCTTAAGTCCCGCTCATTTCCAGACCCTCCTTACCTGGAATTCTGTCACTGGGCGGCCAGGCACAGCTCAATAGAAGCGAAGGGCGTTCGCAGGTGTGGCTCCGGGGATTCAGGAGTCCAAGCTTCAGTGCCCGTCTCATGGGCAGAAGATGTCAGCCGCAGGGTGAGGTGCGGACGTGCCCACCTCTCCAACCCGGGAAGGCCGCCAGTCGCGCGGCGCAGCCCACCCAGAGACTGGGGGGCTGGCTTTCCTAGTTTGACGTGAGAGTAAACTGCGTTAGTCTCTGTCCTCCCTCTCCGCCCCTCTCCTGGTTTTTTGACACTTTAAATCTGTCTTAGATGGTTCAGACCCAAGTCTAGGTTGTATTATCAGCTAAAAGACAACTGTTCTTTCCCCAGGCTTGCTTTCTCCCTTCCCAAAGTCCGGGAGGCTCACCTTGTCAGCGCCTTCCTGCGCTCGCCCAGCTGTGAAGCTGTGCGCAAACTTCTCCTGACTTAAGAGTCTCAATCCTCGCCTGCGCTCCCGCCCCACCCCCGCCCGCCTCCCGACAGGCGGCAGACTAGGTGGCAGCAGAATTGATGAGAGCCAGCCCCGCCACTCCCGGACCCCGCCGCCCCAGTCAGCCCCCTCCAGTCCCAGGAGAGGGAGGGGAGAGCTGGTGAGCTCCGTGCGCCTCCCGCCAGCCCCCGTCGCCCCAGCCCGCGAGTGGGGTTGCGCTCGCAGCTGCTGCCTAGCTCCAGTCGGGGCTGGAGCTCACTCTGCGAGTCCGGGAGACTAAAGCGCCGCGTAAACACAGGAAGCAGGCGAGGGACCCGAGTTAGACCTTGAGTAGGGAGGGAGAGGGGGGCGACAGCCTGGGCTGGGAGACAGCTTTCTGGGAGCCCTGTCCCCTCCCCGGAGGATGTGAGTTTCCACAAGAACCTTACCCCAGAGACAGTGTGACCCTGGCTTCTTCAGCCGCCACTCCGGGGATAGCACTGGGGAGCCTGTGGAGGAAGGGTCGGTAGTGGGCTAGGTAGTGAAAGTGAGATGAGGGCGTGGGAAGACGGCTGGCTAAGAGCTGGGGTGCTAAAAGGAAAAAAGAGCTGAGAGGAAGGAGATGAGAAGAGACACCTTGGGGGTCACGCAAACCCTGGGAGAGCGTCCGGAGTTGGGCGACTGTAGGTTGGGGGCACAACTTGGATTTGGAGAAAGAGTGCCCTCCGTGCAGGGGACTACTGGTGGGCACAGTGTTTTAGGGTGAATGAAAACAGAGAGGACGGCGAGGGAAGACGGGGATATGGGGTGCCTGACTTGGTGTCGGACACTGCGACTCCTCTTCTTTCCCCCTAAAACCCTCGATGTCAGCAGGAGTCCGGGACAATCCAATTCCAGGCGGGGCGCAGCGGAGGCTGGCAGGAGCGCTCTGGGAGGCAGGCAAGTTGATTCCAAGGACGAGTCACCCTCAACCTCTTTTAGCCCACAACTGGGTGGAGCAAGGCAGGAGTCAACACTTTTTTCCTAACTCTGTTTAGGCGGTGTTGGACTAAGAAAGCAGCATCCGGTGCGTCCCGGGACCACAAGGTGGCTGTGCACCGTCGAGGTTACTAAACACTGTCTCCTTGGCAAAATAAATAATAGCAATAATTTAATAGGAGGGGAAGAAAGTCAGACGGGAACAGCACACTTTCCCTGGTGGTCTTAGGTTCTCATAAGCACACGGGACACCACCAGGTGACAGAGAAGGAGGTGTCCTGTGAATGGAACTGCAGCCCTCACCCGACCATCCTTGGAGCTCTTCCATGGAAACATCAGTGACTGTAGGCAAAAGATGTGCCCGTTTTATTTTGCATGCTCCTGTTTATTTTGAATCCTCATGCCCCACCCCAGAGAGACAACAGGGACCCCTAATTTGTGTGGTTGAGGCAGGAGATCCAGTGGAGGACAGACTCCAGGATGAGATCAGCTCTCATACCCAACATTCCAGGGATTTTGTTTTTCCAGGCTCCCTCCTCTATATGCTCCCCCCTTCCCTGCCATCTCCTGTCTGGTGACCCAGAGGGCTGTGTGTGACTCACTGTGCATTCAAACCCTAAGGCACGGACTCACTGCAGAGGAAGATTGTACAGTACCTTCATTCCCAGGATAAGTGGGAATGATGTTGTTAGCAGTAAGAAATGTGACTAGGAAAGGAGGCTGGGCAACTGGGAGACAAGGAGGCTTTCAAAGGAACACACACACACACACACACACACACACACACACACACACAGTAACTTAAACAAAGCCTGTATAAGAAACCCTTCTGAATTCAGAATTTAGATACAAATCTTCACTCTATACTATCTATCTGTCTTGGGTTCAATAGCTCCCTGCTTTCCAGCTGCTCCTGACCAGTCAACACTTGACCATGACCTCCTGTGAGAATTCTCTTTTGGAATATTAATTACCTTCTTTTGGTGCAAACAGCAGAGAAATACTAAAGTTGTTTGAGAGTCTCCTTTGGTCAATTGCTGGGGGCCAAACACTGAGAATTTCTCGGGTTGTAGCCCAAGTCGCTGAAATAACAATGATTCAGGGAGATGATTGCCAAGTAGAAAGTGTTGCCGCCCTCAGCATTGTGTGATAGAACAAGTACAAGAAGATTTTTCTGCTGGAGGTTAAATCCTAGGGCAGCCTGCCTGATATTGACAGCCAGTATTCTGAAAGCAGGATGGGCTTGATTCTATAAATCTAATGAACATATGTGGGATACCAGCCCTTAACCATAATGTAAACAAAGCAAAATCTAAAAGTTATTGAGAAAAATGGCATGGTGTATTATAAAACTTTAAACTGTGTGTGGTCTAAGCATAAGCAACCTCAGCTGATTAAAGTGTAAACTGTGTTTGATATAATATTGGGGGAAACAATGTGAGTTACCTGTAGGCAGACTATTTCAGGGAAGGTGACACAGCAGAAGCAAGATGAAGCTCTCTGGTCCCCTAAGAAGATTAAATTGACTTTGTCAGTAACAGATATTTATTGAACACCAAAGGGGTTATGTACCTGTTGGAAACACTTGGATTTCACAGAAATTTAACTCTACTGCTTTCTTAATATTATTGCAATATTTTCTACATGGACACAGTGTGGTAAGTTTTTGGAGGATGGATGTTAACATGGGGTGGTCTGATAAGAGAAATTGGCGTTGTTTTGAAAATGTTAGGGGACCCATTACTGGATCTTGAAATCAAGTTAGTGGGCATAAGGAACATTTAAAAAATGAAGTGGAATAGAATAGAAAATATCAGAGTTCATTGCCATTTTAAAGCACAAGAGTAGTTTCTTGAAACTTAAGTCTCTCTCTCTCTCTCTCTCTCTCTCTCTCTCTCTCTCTCTGTGTGTGTATATTAAATTGCAAAGTAAAACATATTTCTTTCTGTGGATCACAAAAATACCTTAAGACACTTGGTTAGAATAAGCTATTCTTCAAGTAGAATACCTTATATTTTCAAATAAGCTTTCAAATGAAATTAGTCCATCAAAGGGGCATTCAGAAAATAAACATCTTAAAATGTGGCAGTCACACATTCCTGGTACTTTTCTTGATTGTTTATTTTAAAATTCCCTGTCTTTATGAGACTTTGCCCCTTTATCTCTGTCCCTCTTTCTCTTTAGAAAATTTCCCCACTGGACAATTACTAATTTAGGGAGAAGTATTCTGTGTATCTTGTCTACAGACTTTTCAATGCAAACTCCACTTCAATTCTGAAACCCTCCATCCTCATTGCTGAGGGTGTGAAGTCCTGCCACTAACAAAGGGTTATCTGACCTCCCAACTGTCTTTCCAGACAAAGTTTGCCAGAGTTTGAACCATACATACCACTTTCTGGACACTTACGGTTCGAGAATTCGGGGACCTTTCCTTAAAAATCATGAAAGTTTGAATTTCAGTAAAAGGAGGGAAGATTGCCCATTATTAAAGACTAACTCTATTAATACCTGTTCCTGTTAAATATGGTTAATGTGAGGGAGGTCACACTTTGTAGACACTGAAGAAAGTCATTTAGTTCTTCTTGGAAAAAAATTGTTATAAGATTAAATAGAGTTTATTCTCTTTTTAACAGGAATTTAGAAGAAACATTTCTGGGTTCTCTCAGGAACCCAGTGGTTAACTTGAATAGCTCCCTATCAGCAAAGTTTTCCTTACGTTGAAATCCAGCTCAATCCATTATGCTTATGTGTTGGTAATTTAGTACATATTTAACACCACATAATGTCAGAACACACTTGGCTAGCCACTTACAGGGGACCCAAAAAGCACAATATGCAGCTCCTACCCTCAAGAAACCCACAGTCTATTCAAGAACATTTGTTTCTTCCTCTTGTAGCCTCCTTCCAAATAGACAACAGCTGGTAATTATTCTTTATATAATTACTCTACCTAGATTTACAGGTCTCACCATGACAGGGCGAATAGTAATTTGCCTTAGTGAAAAACAAACGTTTTCCTTGGAAAACAATTTAAACTTCAATCTGATAAATCATGCTCTCTTGCAGGAAGTGTCCTGCTTCGATTTTCCACCTCTCTTGCAGAAATAGGAGCTGGGGTACTTGTAAGTCTCTCTTCTGTCTTCATCTTTCCAAAGGTGCGACACAGTTGTGTTTCTCTACAGAACGTGTCTTTTGGCAGGGAAAAAACAAATTCCACTTGAACTAGGAAGTGTCTTTCCAGATCGTACTTACATAAACTTCAGTTGGGTTAACTGTTAACTTAATGTGTAAATAACTCAGAGTGGGAGGAGATGGCGGGGACTTAACACCATAAAGCAGCAGTGGAAACTAATAGATGCATCTCTGATGAAGTTCAGAAATATCCATTTCCTATATTTTAAAGAAAATTCTAAAGGGAAACCCAGGAGCCAGAAAAAATACTGCAGAAGCAAATGTATGCAGATATTCATTCATTCATTCATTCAACAAATAAAGAAAAATTGAGGCCCCCAAAGCTTATATTCTAGTGGGAAGAGGGAGATAGGTAATAAACAAAATAAGAAATAAATTGTTAATTTCAGATACTGACAATGTTAAAAGATCATTGACAGAAGACTGAGAGGCAGGCATGGGGTAATGCTATTCTAGGATGGCCAGGAAAAGCTCTCTTTGAGCTGAGATGTAAATGAGAAGCCAGTCATCATGAGTTCCCTAGTAAAATTATCATAACGTGTTGCTTCACCTCCCTTTAAATAAAAATAAATAACATTTGGGTCAGGAATCTACTCTTTTGGGATTGTGATAGTGTGTGTGTGTGTGTGCGCGCGCACACATGTGTGTCTTTGTAAAAGGCTCTTTGTAATTTATTCCTATTTAGTTGACACTCAGGGATCTAGGAGATGAGAGGCATGAGATAGGTAATGATAATTTTCTGTACTTACATGTTGGGCTATATAAAGTTAAATTAGGAAAGAACCCTCACATAGCACTAACTTTTTAGCTTAGATTGTCTCAGGTTATGTTTGCAACGTGCTAAAATGCAAAGAAATATGGAACTTCC